TAAAGAAAATGTCCTTTTCTCAATGCATGTGTTTGACACCTTTGTACAAATTGAGTTCACTGAAAATGTGTGATTTACTTCTGGGTTCTCTAGGCTGTTTCATTGGTCTGTGTGCCTATTTCTGTGTCAGTACCATGCATTTTGGTTACTATAGCTCTGTAGAATAATCTGAAGCCAGGTAATGTGATTCCTCCAGTTTTAGTCCTTTTACTTAGGCTAGCTATGGCTATTCTGGGTCTTTAGTGGTTCCATATATATTTTAGGATTGTTTTTCTATTTCCGTGAAAAATGTCATTGATACTTTGGTAGGAATTGCATTGAATCTATAGGTTGCTTTAGGTAGTACATTTAAAAAATATTGATACTTCCAATTCATAAACATGGAATATCTTTCCATTTTTGTGTGTGTCCTCTTCAATTTCTTGCATCAATGTTTTATAATTTTCATTGTAGATATCTTTCACTTCTTTGGTTAAATTTATACCTAGGTATTTAATTTATTTATAGCTATTATAAGTGGGATTACTTTCTTGATTTTTCAGATGGTTCACTTAACACAGAAATGCTACTGATTTTCATATGCTGATTTTGTATCCTGCAACTTTACTCGATTTGTCAGTTCTAATATCTTTCTGGTGGAGATGTTGTTTTTCCAAATGTAAGATCATTTAATCTGAAAAACTAGTATAATTTTACTTTCTTTCCAATTTGGATGCTCTTTATTTCTTTATCTTGTCTGATTACTCTAGCTGAGACTTTCAGTACTATGTTAAATAGCAGTGGTAGAAGTGGGCATCCTTGTCTTGTTCCAGATCTTAGCAGAAAGGCTTTCAAGTTTTCACCATTCATTATGATAGTAGCTGTGTTTCTGTCATATATGGCTTTTATTATGTTAAGATATGTTCTTTCTATACTCAACTGAGAGTATTTATTGTGAAGGAATGTTGAATTTTAACAAATGTTTTTTCAGCATCAGTTATTTTTGTCATTCATTCTGTTGATACAATATATCACATCGATTGATCTGCATATGCTGAACCATCCTTGCATCACTGGGATAAATCTTGCTTTGTCACAGTGAATGATCTTTTTAATAGGCTGTTGAATTCAGTTTGCTAGTATTTTGTTGAGAACTTTTGCATTAGTGCTCATCAGATACATTGGTCTGTAGTTTTCTTTTATAGATGTGTCTTTGGCTTTGGTATTAATACTGGCTTTAAGGAATGACTTTGGAAGTATTCTATTTTCCATTTTTCAGAATAGTTTAGGGCTGTTCTTAGTTCTTCCTACCATTGTCCCAGAGTTTTCTTTGCTGGAAAACTTTTTATTAAGGTTTCTATTTTATCACTGGTTATTGGTTTATTCAGGTGTTTTATTTCTTCATGGTTCAATCTTGGCACATTGTATGCATCTAGGAATTTATCCTTTCTTCTAAGTTTTCCAATTAATTAGTATGTAGTTCCTCATAGTACAAAGTTTTTGTCCTATGATTTTTTCTTGAAGTTTTATTGGTTTTACATTTATATATAAACTCAATCATTTTGAGTTGTTCTTCTAGGTGGTGTTACATGTAGGTGAAAGTGGTGTGTGCGTGTGTGTGTTTCATATAGATATTCAATTTTTTAGGCACAATTTGTTGGGAAGATTACCTTTTCCATACAGAATTGCCTTTGAAATGTTCTCAAAAATCATTTGTTCATATATGTGTGAGTATGCTTTTTTATTTTATTCTGATTGCTAAACATCCATGTTTGGTTGTAATCAAGAAATGTATGACTAAAATTTAAGAAAAGTGCAAAATGAGAATAATAGCAGTAATCCAGCATGTTAGATAAGAAAGAGATTACTTTGATGTAATCATGGAAGAATTCTCAAGGAAAGTGAGTGTTATGAACTGAATTATTTCCTCCACCCTCCAAATTCACATGTTGAAGACCTAACTCCCAATATGATGCTATTTCAGAGATAAAACCTTTGGTGATGTAATTAAGTTTAAATAAGGTCATAATGGTAGGACTCTAATCCAATAGGATTGGTGCCACTATAAGAAGAGGAAAACACGAGGGAGCTCTCTCTCTGCATGTGCACAGCAGAAAGGTCACATGAGGTTGTAGCCACAAAACGGTGGCTGTCTGCAAGCAACGAAGAAAGCTCTTACTAGAAACTAATCCCTAATCCTGATGGTACCTTGATCTTGGACTTCTAGCATCCTAAATAAATTTCTGTTGTGCAAGGTATCCAGATTGTGGTATTTTTTATGGCACCCCAAGCAGACTAATATAGTGGGACCTGAGAAGCTGTTGAGGAACTTGACATTGAAAAACTTGAATCTCTACCGAATGTGTTTATGGACCCTTAGTTCCACTAATTGGAGCAATGAACTAAAAAGATAAAAGTCTGAAACGAGTGGCTTTCAATTATAATGGCTTTGTCATTGCGTACTTCAGACAGTATTTAATTGACCCAGTTCAGCCCCCCATGAATAACACAGGTAGACAGTTTGCTTTCTAGAGAAACTTTCAACCTAATTAATACAAATACATTATTATTACTGGAGAAAATGGGCATAGCTTAATGATAGCCAATTAGTAGAACTACCTTTGTTATCAAACAAAATAATTTTTGAGATTGTGGAAACGAGAGGTGGGAAGATTAACTTTGGACTTAGAAGTGATATATCTGGAACAAATGATTTCACATTAATATTGTGAAAATGGGACAATACTTGTCTCCTTAAAAACAAGAGTACTTACAGTTGTTGAGAGCTTTTAATGTAAAAGAATAACCAATACACAAAGAATTTCACATTAGACTATCACAATTACTATAAGTATGAGCCACTGGTGAGCAAAATTAAACTTATCTTTGGGGCCGTGGAAATAATTCTTAAAAGACATGGATGGAATTTGACCTGGTCTTGAGAAGTAGCACTTGAGAAAGCAGATGGCAGAGGCAGGATCATAGCTCAAGGAGGCAGCATGGACTAAGGAGGAAAACAAGCAAGCAAGTGCTGATCCTGAGGAGACTGGTGGTCTAAGAACTGAAATTTTAGGGAGCAAAAGAGGTGTTCAAGAGAAACAACTGCAAAGTTTTTCAGGGCTACAGGCAAATTTTGTATTCATAATACATTTTCTGAAGCATTATGGGATCATAATGCTTTTTCCCAAATTAGAAGACACATTTTCCATAAAGTTCTAAATTTACTTGATTATTTAACATGTCTTCTTATGAATTTATATGCAAAATGTATATTTGCAAGTGAAACCCACTGGGATAATGGAACATGTGCCAAGGGCTTGTTGTCTCAGGTCATGCCTGGTCCTGTCCACACAGCCTCCTCAGGTAGATTCTCTGGTTTCCTGCTCTCCTGTCCCCACCCAGCAACTGCTGCCACCTTGCTCCAGTGCATGCACTCCTACCTGAGTCTTCGGGCAGGGCTCTCCATCTTAACCTAGTGTCTCTGTACTTTAGAGAACATCACATTAAATAGTCAATAAAAAAACACCATAAAGAGTCAAGAGGAACTATGGAAGAAATTTCCTGCATTTTGAATGAAGGGGCCTGGATTTTCATTTTGCACTGTACCCCACATATTATGTAGCTGGACCTGAAATCCTGTAGCAGTAAGCGGCCCCAGGCAAGTGACTCTGGGCAAGGCACTTGGTGCTTCTGAAGGCAGTTTCCACATCTGTAAAATAATAGTTCAGAGCAGAGTGGGGTGGCTCACGCTTGTAGTCCCAGTTATCTGAAGGCTGAGATTAGAGGACGGCTTGAGCGCAGGAGTTCTAGGTGGCAGTGAGAGCTATCACTGTGCCACTGCACACCAACCTGGGTGACAGGGAGAGACCGGGTCTCTAACAAAACAATAATAAAAGAATAATAATTCCTACCTTGTTGGACTTCTGTGGAGATTTGGAGCTAATTTATGTAAAGCTCTTGAACCAACACTTGACACATTTTAATGGTGAATACTAGAAGGTGTTGACAATTATATATTACCTAATTCAAACACAATCCCTTACGTCTCCTATGCCTGCCGGCTAATATTTCTAAACAGCCATTCCCACAGGCGTTAGCAAATGTGCATTCTGGTTTTGTTTCAAATGTTGATTCACTAAATTTAAACCTTTCTATAGTGCGCACATGTCCACACTTCAGCTAATGTGAGGTTGGAACAAAAAGCTGTCAGGATCTAAAAAGGCATGCTTCTTAGAAAAGCAGAAATCTTCACAAATTAACTAGATTTTTAAAATGGAAGCAAAAATTCATTCATTCAAGTGATTGATCACTTCACAAAAGCTCTTTCACCGCCGTCGAGCGACCCCTCGTCGTTAGGAGAGAAAAACAAAGGCCAGTACAATGCGGGCACAGTGTACTAAGCGAACACACACACACACACACACACACACACACACATGCACATAATCTTGAAAACCCTGACGTTGCCCAGCGGGCGCGGTGTACTAAGCGAACAGACACACACACAGCGGGCGCTGTGTACTAAGCGAACACAGACACACACACAACCCTTGAAAACCCTGACGTTGCCCAGCTACCAGCCCGTGTTTTTTTGTTTTTGTTTTTGTTGTTGTTGCCGTTGATGTTTTTCCCCCGAGACGGAGTTTCGCTCTTGTTACCCAGGCTGGAGTGCAATGGCGCGATCTCGGCTCACCGCAGCCTCTGCCTCCTGGGTTCAGGCAATTCTCCTGCCTCAGCCTCCTGAGTTGCTGGGATTACAGGCACTCGCCACCATGCCCAGCTATTTTTTTTGTATTTTTAGTAGAGACGGGGGGGGGGGGGGGGTTCACCATGTTGACCAGGATGGTCTCGATCTCTTAACCTCGTAATCCACACGCCTCAGCCTCCCAAAGTGCTGGGATTACAGACGTGAACCACCGCGCCCGGCCCCCGACTAGTTTCTATAGGAACGCGCAATTCCGTCGCGTCGCCCTCTGCGCCGGAAGTTGCTCTAATTCAGTTCCTGTTTTCCCCTCCGAGCGTCAACGTTTCTTTTTCCCGAGCAACAGCTAGAGCAGACGGCGGAACAGTTTTGGGCCTGAGAGGCCTCCGTTGAGGGGCGTGGCAACGCAGCCGAGCTCTGACAGGCCCAGTTCACGTGCAGGCGGCGGCGGATCGTATTCCTCCATCTACCATGGCTCTGCCGGGAACTCTGAACCTCAATAACGAGGTAAGCGCCGAGGTTGAGGAACCTGTGGGGCTGACTTTGAAGGTACTCAGAATCAGCTCTTCTGAGACGTGTGGTCGGAGGCGGGGATAGAGGGTGCGTCTGGAGGAACTTTCGTGATGGGCCCGGGCGGATTTCCCTTAACTTGGAGTTTGGCAACCGGTAATTTCCCTTCTCGGTCTCTAGGTGACTAAAGTGAGAGACATGTGTCAGGCCCCACGAATTTATGTCTGTGAGACTTTGGGAAGATCCTTTAGCCTGTGTGTTCAATATTCTTGTTCGTAAAGCGGAACTCGGAGTTTGTCCCAGGGTTGTTGTGAGATTAACTGAGATACGTAAAGTATTTGCAAGTGCCTGATCCTTCCTAAGCTTTCAGTACACATTACCGGCTCCTTATTGCCTGTCAAAAATGAAAGGGAGAAATGAAGAGCTGTAGCTTCTAAGAAATTGCTGATCTTGAATGAGACTGTATGCTCAGTACTTCGTTTCCTACTCCAGTGACTGTCCTATTCCTTTACTTCCATTTACAGCCGAACTTCAATAAAGAGCTATTTATATTTGCTGTCTCCAATTCTTTTTTTCTGCTTCTTTCTTCAGTCCATTCTCCTCAGATATTTGTTCTCACCACCGTCACTTCCATAACGTGCTGATGGCAACACAATACTATTTCTACCACCTACCGCCTTCTGGTTTCTGCTTCTATCCAACGAAGTAATATTAACCGAAGTCTTAAAGTAAGCTGGAAACGTAAGGATCAAGTAAGGACTTCACAGTTACATACAACAAGGAAGTTCTTTGGCCCATGTATGAGCAAGTCACCGTTTAGATTACATACAGTAGTGTAAGGGATGTTTCATATTTTCTAGTAAACTATACTCAAGTAAGAGAGCTAAGCAACTCCCACCTACGGTACAGAACAATGTGTGAAGAATATCCCAAAGAACTAGTAATGCAGAAAGGTTTTCAAAGGCGGCAAAATGAAGTGGTTGATATTTGTCCTTGGTCTTTAACGAGTTTAGGAATTGCAGTCCGTGATTAGGTAAAGGGGAAGAAGTTATTCCAGACAGAAGGTCTAATATAAGCAGGAAAGGGGTAGTAGCAGAAAAACCTGTGAGTAATATAGGGGTAGGTAACTTTTGACTGATGGGAACTTGGTGTGAACTCCAGTGGTGTACTGGATATGCTGAAGAGGGAAGCTGAAAGCAGTTACTGTTTACTCATAAATGTGCATTAAGTTTATGCTTTGTGACAGAAAGCATTTGGTGGGCTGTTTTCCATGAGGTTACCTGTGATGTATGAAAGATCAGAGTAATGTCCTTGGAATTTCAACACTAGGGAGCATCATATCAAATTTTGTAATGACTTTGATGATGGAAATGACAGGGAGTAAGTCATTTAAGACTCTTTTTCCACTTAGCTAACTTCAGTTCTTTTCAAAACAGTTAAAATTTGACCTTTAGGAAACCTTCATTAACTCACCTGAGTTTGGATTAGGTGTCTATTCTTTGTGCACCCAAATTGCTTTCTCCTTTGGAAACACATATGTACCTATTTCTGTCTTCTGTAGTTTTGTGTCTATCATGTATAACATATGATTAAATGAATTTATGAAATCATGAACTACACACATCCACCACTGAAGTCTAGTGTATTCTAATGTGAAGGTGATAAAAAGGACAGAGAAAAGTGGAGATGATGGGGGATATTATAATTTAAAATTAGTGGAAAACCACAAAAGGAAAGATAGTTATAGATTTATCTGCATAAAAATATATAACATACCAAAGAAAGAAAAAAGACAACCAACTAGAAAAAAATATATACAGCAAATATGACAAAGGGCCAGTGCCCTTAATATAAAATACCTCATAGAAATTAAGAGAAACCATCTCAGAAAATAGGCAGAAGAAATGAATTAACAACTTCTTCAAGGAGAAAATGTATCTAAAAATAATTTGAATTCACTTTCAGATCATTTCACTTCTTTTCCATCACCACTAGAATCCTAGTGCAGCTACTGTAGTAGCCTCCCAACTACTTACATTGACTCTTCCCAGACTTTAATCTTAATCTCTATATTGCAGCTAGAATTCTGTCTACAAAACGTAAATCTAATCTGTCACTCCCTCGCTTAAAATCCATTTAAGGCTGGGCACAGTGGCTCACACCTGTAATCCCAGCACTTTCAGGAGGCTGAGGCAGGGGAATCACCTGAGAGTTCGATACCAGCCTGACCATGGAGAAACCCCGTCTCCACTAAAAATGCAAAATTAACTGGGCATGGTGGTGCATGCCTGTAATCCCAGTACTCGGGAGGCTGAGGCAGGAGAACTGAACTAGGGAGGCGGAGGTTGCAGTGAACTGAGATCACGCCATTGCACTCTGGCCTGTGCAAACAAGAGTGAAACTCTGTCTCAAAAAAAAAAAAAAAAAATCCATTTAAGAGCTTCCTGTTACTTTTGGTAAAAAACCAATCTAAACAAGGGGAGATCTTTCTACTTTCGGTTACCACTTTCTTCCCTCAGTCTCTATATTTCATCTACATTGGCTGTCCTCTACCTGGCATAACCGTCTGCAGATCTTTGCACATGCTCCTTTTTCTCTCATTAGTTCATTTAATACTTAATCCTGCTTCATTTGTTATACTTCGTTTGTAATAGTGTTTTGTATATGTGAGTGTGTGTGTCTGAGAGAAGTTTCTTTCCCCTTCACCTGACTAAACTTTTGTTCATCATCATATTGTCAATACCTATGTGTTGAAAGAATAATGTGAAGCATCGTTTTCATGATCCGTAATATCGTAGATTAACTCTTCTTTTTTTGTTCTCCCCACCCCAGATTAACTGTTCTTAACTAGGATTTAAGGATGCATTTCGAAGGGCCTATAACTGCCTGGAATTATTTGTAAATTTGTGTTTGTATGTCTCTTGGAAAGAGTCCCTATGTTTCATTAGGTTTGCAAAGGTTTATAAATCTTTAGCACTGTCTTTGGGCTATGTGTACTAATGGCTATGATTTTATTTTACAGGAATTCTTGTTTCATAATTTTTAATCACAACTTTTTCTTTACAAAGGTATATGGCAGTCTCATTTTACAGCATATTTAATTTCCCAGAATGTCTTCTGAGAAAATAAAAGCCTGCCTGCAGAGGCACCCATTATGTTGCGCTGACTTTCAATATTTCCTACCATTAATAATTATATTCTTATAAAAAAAAATTTCCAAAGTTAGAAGCTGACCAATTTGTTAAGTACTTCCTGACTCCAGGTTCTTAGAGTATATTTACTCTTGTGAACTGAAGTAAAAATTTATCTTTACTTTTCTAAAAAATAAACCATCATTTTTTACCTTACGTGGATGATTGATTGTTGCATATTTTTGGTACTTCGAAGAAAGAATTTTTAATTCCTTTTTATAGCAGCTTCCATAGCCTCTAGCACAGTACCGTGTCCACAGGTAATAAAAACTAAATATATATTGGGCAGATGAAATCATGGATAGCATAACTGTCGACTAATGTTCAAATGAGAGGGGAAAATCTACTAAATGCTTTTTTTTTCCTCCCTTTCCATTAAAACTAGAGAAGGAGAAATGCACAATTGAAAACAATAGTGCCATAGCATTTAGTGAGTAAATGCTTTGCAAACTAGAGCTAGATTTTTCTCAAGTCATCTGTTTTCTTTAGGCAGCAGTCGTATGTAAAAATCAGAATTAGGAGGTTAAGTAATCTGCTGGAGTACTTTAATTTCATAGAAAGGCCAAAGGCCTGTGTATAAAACTGGCATTATTTTATTCTTTGATAGCAAGTTACCAATAAGCCCATTAGAAAAATTGCTTTCATTTCTTGTGAGACAGTAAAGGTAGAAACTAAAGTGCAAGAGAACAAAATGAGTTTCCTCCACGTACTGTAAAACATAAGAATGCCAAGAACCATATTTGTTTGCGCTTATGAAGTTAAAAATCTCCTATGTCATGTTTAGGTACATGGTACTTTTTAATAATTTTTTTCCGAAATATTAAATTAGGGCCTGTTTGTAAGAAAAGAACCAGTTTGTGTTTAGTTATTAAACTATTCGGGGAAGTTTTGGTAGGTGGCAGCATATGCTCAATAATGGTTAAATTGTAGGTCATCACTAAGCACTCTAGATTTTTAAAAAATTGTTGCTCATCAGAAATAAAAAGTCTAATCAACATTAAGTTATCATCCATGTGACAAAATTAGGGCCTTTTTATAAAACAATAATTTTGGCCAGGTACAGTGGCTCACTCTGTAATCCCAGCACTTTGGGAGGCCGAGGCAGGCAGATCACTTGAGCTCACGAGTTTGAGACCAGCTTGGGCAACGTGGTAAAATCCCATCTCTGCAAAAAATACAGAAAAATTAGCCAAATGTGGTGGTACATGCTTGTAGTCCCACCTACCTGGGAGGCTGAGGTGGGAAGATGGCTTGAGCCCAGCAGCCAGAGGTTGTGATGAGCCAAGATCGCTTAACTGTGCTCCAGCCTGGGCAATAGAGCCAGACCTTATCTCAAAAAGAGACAAAAAAGAAACCCAATGATTTTTTTAAGTATAAAATACTTCAAATATATGGAAAATAATGTAACATGTTCTCATAATCTACTTTGTATTGTTTAGGAAATGTCAGTGTTTTGCTGTGTCTTAATGTTTAATTCTACCCATCTTTTCTACCTCAGAGGTAATTATTATTCTTGCTGTGTGTTTTTCTCTTCTACATTTTTCACAATTTTAGTGACATACATATCTATACTCAGTGTATAGTATTGCATTGTAGACTTTTAAACTGCATATTGCTTTACAAATTATGGGGGCTATGTTCCAAGACCCCCAGTGTATTCTTAAAACTTCAGATAATACCAAATTCTGTCTTCAGTGTTTTTTTTTTTTTTTCTGTACAGTAATGGGCAGGTAACAGATACAGCAGGAATACACTGGGCAAAAGTATGGTTTACATTCTATATGGGATGGAGTAGTACAGTGAGAGATTTCATCATGCTACTCAGAGTGGTGCACAATTTAAAATTTATGAGTTACTTAGATTTGGAATTTTTCACTTAATATTTTTGGACCATGTGTCTGAGGGCAGATAACTGAAACTGCTGACAACAAAATTGTTGGTAAGCGGGACTACTGTATTTTATTTACCAGTGTTACTTTTCGAGGTTTATCTATGTAATGCCTACAGATCTTCTGCATTGATTTAAAATACTACATTGCTATATGCTTTATTATTATTTACTTGTTTATACATTCTTTTCTTTCTCATGCTACATTTTGTTAAAATGCTGCAATGAATAATCTTGTGTGTAGCCTTTTCCTATTGTTGAGAATGTGTCTTCTGAATAGATTCCTAGAAGTAGGACTTTTGTTAAAGTACAGCCAAGGTTTCCTCCAAAGGAGTAAACCAGTTTGCATTTTTACCAGCAGTGTATTTGTTTGCTCACAACCTCATACACAGAATGCATTATCATAGTTTTTTTGTATTTACTAATCTGATAGGTAAGTAATGAATAACCAGAGGTTTTAATGTATTCCTTTTTTTTTTTTCTTTTAAGGCAGAGTCTCGCCCTGTTGCCCAAGCTGGAGTGCAGTGGCATGCTCTCAGCTTACTGCAACCTCTACCTCCTGGGTTTGCCTGCCTCAGCTTCCCAAGTAGCTGGGGTCACAGGCGCCTTTCACCATGCCCGGCTAATTTTTGTATTTTTTTAGTAGAGATTGGGTTTCACCAGGCTGGTCTCG